CTCCCAAATATCTGAATGCATTCACCTGCATACTCTCTCCCTTCAATCTGATATCCAATCTTTCATCACCTAATCTTTTTGGTATCCTCATAACCTTACTCTTTCCTGTTTTCACTTTTAATTTTCTTCTTTTACATACCCTACCAAATTCATCCACCAACCTCTGCAACTTCTCTTCAGAATCTCCCAAGAGCACAGTGTCATCAGCAAAGAGCAACTGTGACAACTCCCACTTTATGTGTGATTCTTTATCTTTTAACTCCACGCCTCTTGCCAAGACCCTCGCATTTACTTCTCTCAACCCCATCTATAAATATATTTAACAACCACGGTGACATCACACATCCTTGTCTAAGGCCTACTTTTACTGGGAAATGATCTCCCTCTTTCCTACATACTCTAACTTGAGCCTCACTATCCTCGTAAAAACTATTCACTGCTTTCAGTAACCTACCTCCTATACCATGAACCTGCAACATTTGCCACATTGCCCCCCTATCCACCTTGTCATACGCCTTTTCCAAATCCATAAATGTCACAAAAACCTCTTTAGCTTTATCTAAATACTGTTCACTTATATGTTTCACTGTAAACACCTGGTCCACACACCCCCTACCTTTCCTAAAGCTTCCTTGTACATCTGCTATCGTATTCTCTGTCTTACTCTTAATTCTTTCAATAATAACTCTACCATACACTTTACCAGGTATACTCAGCAGACTTATCCCCCTATAATTTTTGCACTCTCTTTTGTCCCCTTTGCCTTTATACAAAGGAACTATGCATACTTTTTGCCAATCCCTAGGTACCTTACCCTCTTCCATACATTTATTAAATAATAGCACCAACCACTCCAAAACTATATCTCCTCCTGCTTTTAACATTTCTATCTTTATCCCATCAATCCCAGCTGCCTTCCCCCTTTCATTTTACCTACTGCCTCACGAACTTTCCCCACACTCACAACTGGATCTTCCTCACTCCTACAAGATGTGATTCCTCCTTGCCCTATACACAAAATCACAGCTTCCCTATCTTCATCAACATTTAACAATTCCTCAAAATATTCCCTCCATCTTCCCAATACCTCTAACTCTCCATTTAATAACTCTCCTCTCCTATTTTTAACTGACAAATCCATTTGTTCTCTAGGCTTCCTTAACTTGTTAATCTCACTCCAAAACTTTTTCTTATTTTCAACAAAATTTGTTGATAACATCTCACCCACTCTCTCATTTGCTCTCTGTTTACATTGCTTCACCACTCTCTTAACCTCTCTCTTTTTCTCCATATACTCTTCCCTCCTTGCATCACTTCTACTTTGTAAAAACTTCTAATTGCTAACTTTTTCTCCCTTACTACTCTCTTTACATCATCATTCCACCAATCGCTCCTCTTCCCTCCCGCACCCACTTTTCTGTTACCACAAACTTCTGCTGAACACTCTAACACTACATTTTTGAACCTACCCCATACCTCTTCTACCCCATTGCCTATGCTCTCATTAGCCCATCTATCCTCCAATAGCTGTTTATATCTTACTCTAACTGCCTCCTCTTTTAGTTTATAAACCTTCACCTCTCTCTTCCCTGATGCTTCTATTCTCCTTGTATCCCATCTACCTTTTACTCTGTGTGGCTACAACTAAAAAGTGATCTGATATATCTGTGGCCCCTCTATAAACATTTACATTCTGAAGTCTACTCAACAGTCTTTTATCTACCAATACATAATCCAACAAACTACTGTCATTTCACCCTACATCATATCTTGTATACTTATTTATCCTCTTTTTCTTAAAATATGTATTACCTATAACTAAACCCCTTTCTATACAAAGTTCAATCAAAGGGCTCCCATTATCATTTACACCTGGCACCCCAAACTTACCTACCACACCCTCTCTAAAAGTTTCTCCTACTTTAGCATTCAGGTCCCCTACCACAATTACTCTCTCACTTGGTTCAAAGGTTCCTATACATTCACTTAACATCTCCCAAAATCTCTCTCTCTCCTCTACATTCCTCTCTTCTCCAGGTGCATACACACTTATTTTGACCCACTTTTCACATCCAACCTTTACTTTAATCCACAAAATCCTTGAATTTACACATTCACATTCTCTTTTCTTCTTCCATAACTGATCCTTCAACATTATTGCTACCCCTTCCTTAGCTCTAACTCTCACAGATACTCCAGATTTAATCCCATTTATTTCCCCCCACCGAAACTCCCCTACCCCCTTCAGCTTTGTTTCGCTTAAGGCCAGGACGTCCAGCTTCTTTTCATTCATAACATCAGCAGTCATCTGTTTCTTGTCATCCACACTACATTCATGCACATTCAAGCATCCCAGTTTTATAAAGTTTTTCTTCTCTTTTTTAGTGAATGTTTACAGGAGAAGGGGTTACTAGCCCATTGCTCCCGGCATTTTAGTCGCCTCATATGACACGCATGGCTTATGGAGGAAAGATTCTTTTCCACTTACCCATGGACAATAGAAGAAATAAAGAAGAACAAGTGCTATTTAGAAAAAGGAGAAAAACCTAGATGTATGTATATATATATGCATGTGCGTGTCTGCGAAGTGTGACCAAAGTGTAAGTAGGAGTAGCAAAATATCCCTGTTATCTAGTGTGTTTATGAGACAGAAAAAGACACCAGCAATCCTACCATCATGTAAAACAGTTTCAGGTTTCTGTTTCACAGTCATCTGGCAGGACGGTAGTACTTCCCTGGGTGGTTGCTGTCTACCAACCTACTACCTACTAGTACGTCAAAAACCCTGACGCGTAAGCTGTTCTAGTACGGCCGAAACCCCAAAAGGGTTAATGTGTGTCCACTTGAAACACTGACATTACACATATTTTTATGGAGCATTTTCCCCACAATACAAACACCTTACGTTAAATACATTTTTTTTTTTTAACATGTCGGCCGTTTCGCACCAAGGCAGGGCGACCCAAAAAAGAAAAACTTTCAACATCATTCATGCATACCTTTGATATACCTTTGAAGAGTTTTGAGAGTTTCACTACTCTTGGAGCCTGGACATGGGCCAGGCTCATCTTGTGCTTGCCTGGTCAACCAGGTTGTTGCTGTTGGAGGTCTGCTGCCCCACATATCCATCACAGTCTGGTTGATCTGGCACCTGGTGAAGATACTTGTCTAGTTTCCTCTTGAAGGCTTCAACACTTGTTCCAGCAGTGTTTCTGATATCTTCTGGTAAGATGTTGAAAAGTCTGGGACCCCGGATGTTGATACAGTGTTCCCTTATTGTCCCCACCGCACCCCTGCTCCTCACTGGGTTTATTTTACACTTCCTCCCATATGTCTCTCTCCAGTATGTTATGGCAGTGTGCAGATTTGGGACCAGGCCTTTCAAGTATTTTCCAGGTATATATTATCATGTATCTCTCCTCTGCTCCAGTGAGTACATGTTCAAGACTTGAAGGCATTTCCAGTACCTTTACCTTTGATATACCTTTGAAGAATTTCAAGAGTATATCTACTCTCTGAGCCTGGCCATGGGCCAGGCTCGTCTGGTGCTTGCCTGGTCAACCAGGCTGTTGGTGCTGGAGGGCCGCTGTCCCACATTTCCATCACAGCCTGGCTGATCTGGCACCTGGTGAAGATACTTGTCTAGTTTCCTCTTGAAGGCATCAACACTTGTTCCAGCAGTGTTTCTGATATCTTCTGGTAAAATGTTGAAAAGTCTGGGACCCCGGATGTTGATACAGTGTTCCCTTATTGTCCCCACCGAACCCCTGCTTCTCACTGGGTTTATTTTACGCTTCCTCCCTTATCTCTCACTCCAGTATGTTGTTATGGTGCTTTACTGGTTCAATGTGAGCCGTAAACAATCGTTGTATTTGTTCCAGCTCTGATACTTCTGCTGTGAATGGGGCTGTCAGCACTGAGCAATATTCTAAATGAGGGAGCACTAGCGATTTGAAGAATGTCACCACCAGCATTATTTCCCTTGTCTAGAAAGTTCTCAATACCCACCCCGTCGTCATCCTGGCTGTTGTAATCTTTGTCTTGTTATGGTCTTTAAAAGAAAGGTCAGCTGACATAGTTATTCCCAAGTCTTTTACGTATTCCTTTCGTTCTATTTGGAGACCCTCTTTGAGTTTTATATATAGTGTTCCTTTTGAGTTCTCCATTTTTTCCATACGTAAGCAGCTGGAACGTATCACCAGTGAATGTCATGTTGTTCTCCACTGCCCACTAGAAAACCCTGCTTATGTCTTCCTGTAATTTTTCATTGTTCTCTACCATATTGACTTTCATGCTTATTTTAGTGTCATCTGCAAATGATAATCACTGTCTTTGCAGAGGCACCCAGATACGACAGTTTAGATGTCACTCCAAACAGCCAGTATCCCAAACACCTCCAGGATTCTAGTCCATCTAACCAGTTTCCCTGAATCCCTTCACAAAATATTTCCCCGCTCACACGCCAACAGCTTTTCAGGTCCCACAAACCATTAGTCTTCATTCACTCTTAACACGCTCACATATTATCTTCACATTAATGCAGTAGCCTGCATAACAGCTTCCATGAGCCATTGTGTGTTGCTGGTGAGTCTGTTTACAAATTTGTGCACTCTTTGTCTCTATTCTGGCAATTTTCCAAAGTTTCAAATTCACCACTCACTATGTATAAGCTAAGGATGAAAATAAGGTAAGTAATAAGTGTACTGTATATGCATTTTTCTATTTTATTGTTTTTTAGACCTAGCTCTTCTTCACTTAATACATGATAATTAAAACATATTATCAGGCTTTTATATGCATTTGAAAGTGACTGTACAGTGATTTTAATTTTACAGCATAACCTGCTGTATAATTGGGGCCCTACTGTATAGATGAATATTATGGCACATTACCAGTGTTAGATGCAATTTCATAGCTGTGTAGTGAGAATTTTCTTACATTCCTCACAAGTATACATGAGTGACTTACGAAAGAATTTTCACGATATCTATTCTTTTCAGGTGCGGTCCATATCGGTTCAAAGTGCACTTTTGCGGAACCCATACATCCTGTTTTATGAGATGGTGCAAAAACCAAAGGACAATATGCTGGTAAAACAAGTGGTGCGTCAGAGTTCTGAGAAGACACTAATTCGTCAGAATTCAGATGGGATCTCTAAACCAATACCAACAAGTCACAGTGCTTCGTCAGTGACTAATGGTTTTGGTCGTGCTACTGATAATATTGGAGAACTTGGAAATAGAAATAGTGTTTTGACTCCTACTAATAAACCTGCATTGCCATCACACAAAGACAGGTATATAGTAAACACAAAAATATCTTGTTTTAATTATCGTAGGTAAGATCATTGTATGTCTTGGCATAATTTTTTATATGGTAAAATTAGTGGGATTGCTTGAGGGTAATTATATCTTTGATAGATTAGTGTCAGAACTAATAATTGTAACCTTTAGTTATCAAATTACTTTGTTTTCTTCACAGGGAAAGAATATCCTTCGGTATCAAGTTTAATCAAGGTAAAAGTGAAAGTACAAGCAAGCCTAATAAGATCATTCTCAACTCTGGTACTACATCTCTTTTGGGAACAAAATCCTCACTTGTTGTTTCAGGCTCTTCCTCATCTACTTCAACACCTGGTAAAGCATCTTCAGTGCATAAAACTGTGTCTAGCTTGGTACCATATCCAGATGATTCTGAAGACTCTGAGGGTGATGAATCTAAACGAGGGGCAGTAAAAGCACACAGGGAAAAGCCAGTTCAAGTTTGTAAAGTGAAAAGTGATGATCAGAAGGGTATAAAAGCAAATGGTGTGAAGAGTGTGAAAATTGAAAAAATGAATGGATCGTTACATGTACAGAAACTGGAAAAGCTTAGTAATGGTGATATTAAGAATATCAAGTGTACTGAAAGTGACAGTAGTGTAAAAAGTAATAGTTCATGTAAAAGTGCATCATCGACTTCATTTATGCCACGATCGCTACAAGTTGTAAATAGCACCAGTCAGCATATGGCAAATAGCAGTACAAGTTCTAAAGTAAAGGTGACTCAGGTTGGCTTGTGACAGATGCTGCATTACATTCACCTAGTGAAAGTAGCAATAGTAGTGCTGGTGGATCACATGCAAATTTGTTCACTGTGGTAGATCAGCCCACTAGCTGTAAGTTAGAACAGAAGCAGCAACATAGTCAAGTGCCTGAAAAAATAGAAAATCAAGGATGGACAGTAACTATTAGAAAGCAACGTCCAGAATTAGAAAAGTCCCTTTCACATGACTCTGTTCTTCCCAGCCCAACCCGTAAAAAGGATGAACCGGATTCTGCTAGTCTGAAAAGCAAAGCCAGTGTTGACAGTTGCCGTTCTGACCGCTCAACAAAATCTATGAAGAAATCCCTCTTTTCACTATTTACTTGTGTATCATCTCGCAGTCCAGAAAGCCCAGAAGATGAGCAGCCAGAAGCTGTATGCCCTCAAGAGGAGACAGAAGAAAGCACCAAGCCTAAGCCCACAGATGGCGATCGCACAAAAGTCAGTAACAGTGATGGCAAGCTCAACAAGAGTAATATCACTTCTAGCTCACCTAATTGCAAAGAGTGCAAGAAAGAATTTCCAAATGAATCAAATAAAAATGGAACAAATTCCTATTATGAAAATGGTCATCATAACTTAAAATCAGACACAGATAGTGAAGCAGAAAATTCTCAGAGTAAAAGATTTAGAGATCATGATGATAATGAACCTTCAAGCCCTTCAAAGAAGTGCCGTCCTGAGGACAAGGCAAAAGCTAATAAAAAGAATGAGCATGAAGCATCAAAAAATGGACTTGACTCTAATACTTCAAAAAACGGACCAAATAATAGTTATGAGGCAAAGTCAAAAAATGTGCAGTGTAGTGTGACTGATGTTTCAAAAAACGGAGTCATTCATGAAAATGAGAAATCAAAAAATGGACTTGTAGAAAAGGGGGAGAAGGGTAACAAAAATAGCAAAGATCAAAAACAAAGTAAACTATCATTGTGTAACAATGGTGAAGCTTCAAAAGCTCAAAATGACTCCTCTTCTGTATCTGCCTCATCCCTCTCTGGGTCATCTTCAGACTCGGAATCAAGTGATGGTGAAGGTGATCAGGAAGGAACTGAGCATTGGGTAGAAAAGACTAAAGAGACCATAGGAAAAGAGAAAAATCTAGGTGTTCACATTGTACATTGGAATGGTAACTTGAAAGATCTTTCTCACTCTTTAGGACGTGACCGAGAAAATGAACAGACTTGTGATCGTGAAAGAGAGAATTTTAAAGAACCTCAGAAAAGGCGATCTGGAATGTGGGATGGTAGTCGCTCTACTGAAGTAGTCGATGAATTGCGAAGAGCTGGAGAATTTGCATATGGAAGTAAAGGTACGTTTTTCAGTAATTGACATCATTTAATTTAGAATTATGTTATTCATATTACTGTATAGTATCTATAGCTATAGTTTGGAAACCTAGCATGTTGTGGTATTTTTCAGATACTGTATATTATGTGTACAGCAAATTTCAGCATCACTTGAGCTTTTGTAATTACTAACATACTTTTGAGTATCCAGTGGGCTTGTACAAATATCTTAGATAAGGGTGAATGAAGTGTTTTTAAATAATTGACATGTCAGAGTGAGAGGAAGGAAATTTTGATGATGGGATCCAGAGAAATGGGTTAGCTGGACCTGAATAGTAGTGGCAAAAAGGGCAGTGCCTGTATTCTGAAGGAGGAGGTGGAAATTTTGCAGTCAGAGTAATCCAAATTGGGATAGCAGCACACTTGTCTAGACGAGAAATTGAATGAATGCTTTTTTTTTTTTTGTCACCCTGCCTTGGCAGAAGATAATTGTTGAGGTTAAAAAAATTAAATGTGTGTTTTCAAATGACAGCTTTGTTTGTTAATCTTATTTTTTCTCCAACACAAATACACAAGTTTGTATATTTGTCTTGCCTTTCTACATTCATGTGTATTAATTGAGATAATTTAAGAATTTTTGCTTTTAACACACCAGCCACCTCTACCGAGAGTGACATGATAAATAAGACAGTTTTACCATCATTCACTCTCATCCCAGAAGTGTGTTGATATTACGGCTCAGATGACCCTCCAAACTGCAACATCCCCCATCCCTCCCCCAGAGTGCAAGCACTATACTTCCCACCTTCACGACTCAAGACCGGCAAACCAGTTTCCCTGAATCCCTTCATAAATGTTACTCTGCTCTTATTGCATCAGCACATTAAGCCACTTGCTTCCACTCTCTAATATCTAACACACTGGGTGTCCAAGCCCTTCGCACAGAAAACCCCTTTTACCCCTTTTCCTCCAGCCTTTCTGTAACCCTTTCAGGGTTGGCAGGCCCTCTCCTAAACTTGTTCTCAGGGTTGGAAATTTAAAAAAAAAAAAAAAAAAAAGAAAAGAAACATGAAATGATAGAGAATATTTTCCCGATCATAATGACACCAAATGTATGAAATTTGATGGAAAACTTACGGAATTATGCTCTTGTGAAGTTAGCGGTCTCGGCGATGTTTATGCATCGGCAATTTCGCCCACTTTGAGCCCTATTTTAAGCCAATTCCAATGTTCCATTTGAAAAAATCGTAACTATTTCACTGAACTCCATTTTTTTCTATCGAATGAGTATAAGAAACCACCCATTTACCGATTTCAGCTATCCAATAAAGTGGTCAGAAATTGGCAATTTTGCCAATTTCACACAAATTTCAAAAGATGCCAGTTTCCAAATAGGGTCCAAAATAAACAAGACAGACATTCCTGGCACTAAAATAACATTTCCTCTGTTCATTAGTCTCGTCCCCAGGCCTCTCTTACATTTCTTTTGCTTTCCACTTTGAATTTTTATTCTCACAAATAAATAGAAGATTTACTGTTATGCAGACTACTGCGTTAGTGTAGAAATGGTATAAATAATATCAGCGCACTTGTGAAAGAATATTAGACTCACCAGTTAACGTGTATTGAACGTGTGGCATGATTTGTTTACCTTTGAACTTTGGCAAAAATCAAACATTTCTGCTACTTAGAGCTCAATTTCAAGGTACTTTCCATTGTGAAATCAATCAAAATCATCTCTCTTCTTGTGATATATCTTCCATTCTATCAAGTGAAACCAAGAAAACAAAAATACAATCATAAATACCACTCGAAAATGCAGTGCAAAATCACTGTTTTAAACCAAAAACACTGTCAAAGTTTTTTTTTTTTCTCATTATGCACTGTGTGCTGCAGGATTTTTTTTATACTGTGCACACTGACCACATAGACCTATTCTTTAATATGTAGGCCTACCAGCTTTCACTAGATTTGAAGGCTCTAGAATTTATGCATACTAGTATGGCACCAACCCTGGCATGCAAGCCGTGCTAGTATGGCACCAACCCTGAAAGGGTTAAAATTACCCCTGCCCATCCTTCTCTCTGCTACAGATTTAAACATCCACCTGGCCATCCAGTTTTGCTCCATCCTCTTTAAATGTCAAAACCACCTCAAAACCCTCTCCTCAGCCCTCTGGATAATACATTTAGTAACTTCACACTGCCTTTTCTCAAAACTAAGAATTCTCTCCATAATATTGACACCACACATTACCCTCAGACACATAATTTCCACTGCCTTCAGCCTTCTAGCTGCATTGTTTAAAATCCATGCTTCACACCCATACAAGAGTGTTGGTATCAATATACTCTTACACATTACCCTTTTTGCTTCCATGGATAAGGTTCTTTTTCTCCACAGATGCCTTGGTGTACCACTCACCTTTTTTCCCTTGTCAGTTCTGTGGAACATTTAATCTTTCACAGACCTATCCACCAACAAGTCTACTCCCAAATATCTGAACACATTCACTTCCTTCACTACCTGGCAAAGTGTATGGTAGAGTTATTATTGAAAGAATTAAGAGTAAGACGGAGAATAGGATAGCAGATGAACAAGGAGGCTTTAGGAAAGGTAGGGGGTGTGTGGACCAGGTGTTTACAGTGAAACATATAAGTGAACAGTATTTAGATAAGGCTAAAGAGGTCTTTGTGGCATTTATGGATTTGGAAAAGGCGTATGACAGGGTGGATAGGGGGGCAATGTGGCAGATGTTGCAGGTGTATGGTGTAGGAGGTAGGTTACTGAAAGCAGTGAATAGTTTTTACGAGGATAGTGAGGCTCAAGTTAGAGTATGTAGGAAAGAGGGAAATTATTTCCCAGTAAAGTAGGCCTTAGACAAGGATGTGTGATGTCACCGTGGTTGTTTAATATATTTATAGATGGGTTGTAAGAGAAGTAAATGCGAAGGTCTTGGCAAGAGGCGTGGAGTTAAAAGATAAAGAATCACACACAAAGTGGGAGTTGTCACAGTTGCTCTTTGCTGATGACACTGTGCTCTTGGGAGATTCTGAAGAGAAGTTGCAGAGATTGGTGGATGAATTTGGTAGGGTGTGCAAAAGAAGAAAATTGAAAGTGAATACAGGAAAGAGTAAGGTTATGAGGATAACAAAAAGATTAGGTGATGAAAGACTGGATATCAGATTGGAGGGAGAGAGTATGGAGGAGGTGAATGTATTCAGATATTTGGGAGTGGACGTGTCAGCGGATGGGTCTATGAAAGATGAGGTGAATCATAGAATTGATGAGGGGAAAAGGGTGAGTGGTGCACTTAGGAGTCTGTGGAGACAAAGAACTTTGTCCTTGGAGGCAAAGAGGGGAATGTATGAGAGTATAGTTTTAACCAACGCTCTTATATGGGTGTGAAGCATGGGTGATGAATGTTGCAGAGAGGAGAAGGCTGGAGGCAGTGGAGATGTCATGTCTGAGGGCAATGTGTGGTGTGAATATAATGCAGAGAATTCGCAGTTTGGAAGTTAGGAGGAGGTGCGGGATTACCAAAACTGTTGTCCAGAGGGCTGAGGAAGGGTTGTTGAGGTGGTTCGGACATGTGGAGAGAATGGAGCGAAACAGAATAACTTCAAGAGTGTATCAGTCTGTAGTGGAAGGAAGGCGGGGTAGGGGTCGGCCTAGGAAACGTTGGAGGGAGGGGGTAAAGGAGGTTTTGTGTGCGAGGGGCTTGGACTTCCAGCAGGCATGCGTGAGCGTGTTTGATAGGAGTGAATGGAGATGAATGGTTTTTAATACTTGACGTGCTGTTGGAGTGTGAGCAAAGTAACATTTATGAAGGGGTTCAGGGAAACCGGCAGGCCGGACTTGAGTCCTGGAGATGGGAAGTACAGTGCCTGCACTCTGAAGGAGGGGTGTTAATGTTGCAGTTTAAAAACTGTAGTGTAAAGCACCCTTCTGGCAAGACAGTGATGGAGTGAATGATGGTGAAAGTTTTTCTTTTTCGGGCCACCCTGCCTTGGTGGGAATCGGCCAGTGTGATAATAAATAATAATAATAATTCACTTCCTTCATACTCCCTCCTTCCAATATGATATCCAATCTTTCATTACCTAAATTTTTTCTTAATCTCATCACCCTACTCTTTCCTTATTCACTTACAGTTTCCTTTACACACCCTTTTTAGTTAGTCTACCAACCTTTGCAATTTTTCTTCAGAATCTCCCAAAAGTACCATGCCATTGGGGAAAATCAAATGTGACAACCCATGGTATGGTTTGTTTGCAATCGTGTCAGGACGATTTCGTGAGTCATTTGTTTTACTGGTGGTAGCAATTTGTTAAAATTTAAATTGACCATTTAAAAGCAAATTACAGGTATTTACCTATAAGATAAAATACTTAATAAAGTTTCATTTGCCATAATTTTACCCAATTTATGTATAGTTGTGTACATCTAAGATGAAATCAAATAGAGTTCTTTGTGTATAGCTACTAATGAATAGACTTAATGATTTAGGTGAAGTATGACCATTTTATATATTATAATTCATTAAAAGGTAGGTGAAAACCCAGACTAGACATTCTGTTCACTAAAATTAAAAATAAGCAGAATTCACACTAATGTATATTGTGCCTATTTCTTTACAAATTTCTTCAAAATGTTTTATTCCTAAGAATATTTTTGTTTCATTAATTGAATAACTTTTAACAATTTTTAAATTTTGTACTTAAAAAAGAAAAAAGCATTTTCCAGATAATACACGCTAAGATCTTTACACCTGGTTTTGTAAAATAGGATGCTTATTCAAAAATTTTTTTATTTTGACAGATTTGTATTTGGGCGGGCTCCACTTATACAGCAAGTTAGCTTCCAGGCTATCACTGTAAAGTGAAACAGCCTTTTTTTTTCAATTTCAAATGCATATAAATGCCCGGGTTTTTTCTTTCTTTTTGGGTCACCCTGCCTTGGCAGGAAACAGCTGATGTGTTAAAAAAATAATAACCTGATAATATATTTATACTGTCATATATTAAATGAGCAATAGAGCTAGTTCTAATAAATAGTACATATACAGTACACACATTATCTACCAAAAAATATTTTCATCCTTAGCTTATAGTGAGTGGTGAACATGTTTACTGTAGGAAGTGTGAATAAATGAAGAATGGGTATAATTGAAAACTGCTGCATTAGTGAAACACTGTAAAGTGGAGCCCGCCTGTTTATCAGTATTCCTATTATTGTATTAGTACTTCACATATGCTAAATTAAAAGAAATTTAAGTAATATGCAATTAATGTAGCTACACTATAAACTAATACTTCTATCCAACAGTGAATACATGGAATGGAAATAAGAGCATTATAGATCATGATGTTGAAAAAGACCGTAAGGAATTAAAGAAGAGGACATCCGATGACTTATACAATGAGGAATTTGACAGTGGCAGAGTAAGTATATATAGTTATGTGTTTGTAAAATTACTGCCATTACATCAAGAAATTTTTATTATGGCATGATACTTATTCCTGCATCAGAATGACAGTCTGTAGATACACTGTACAGTATACGTATTCTCACCTCTGTCATTGATTTTATATATAATTTGAGTACAGGGAAAATATTGTAGGATTAGGAATACTGGTTCTAAATAAGAGATTCTGCTAACTAATATATACAGTAAGCATCATAAATATACATACATAAATATGATACGAATGTATCAGACAGACGTATTCCCATTAGGTAATACGTCTGTCTGATACAATGTACCATATGGTACAATGTACCATATTATACATTATACCATATGATACCATTGTACCATGATATCATTGTATGATATGGCACCATTGACCATATGGCACCATTTACCATATGGCACCATTCTACCATATGGTTCAGAACCATAGAATTTCTCTTCAGATCCACTTACATCAATCTTAGAACTATAAGTTGGGAAGAGGAGAATCAGAATTCGCCCGGGGAGTGAGAGCTTCCTTGCTGCCAGGCATGGTGAACAAAGCTACTTTGGCAGCATTCCCACAATGCCATGTGGGCGTCCAGATTTTTTCTGTAGTGCGCACACTGACCACCCATTCTCTTAGATGTAGGCCTGCCAGCCTTCTTGAGCTAAATTTGAGGCTGCTAGAATTTTGGCGTAGTTCTACGGTTTGGACCCACAACTCAAAGCCGTAGAACTACGGCATGGACCCTGACAGGGTTAAAATGTCTTTTTTTTTTTTTCAACAAACCGGCCGTATTCGGGGGAGATATGAGCAACTATTGGCAGAGAGGTGGGCTGGTGCAAGTATGAGTAGTGGGGGAGTTGAAGAGGGTTGGAATAGTTTTAAAAATGCAGTATTAGAATGTGGGGCAGAAGTTTGTGGTTATAGGAGGGTGGGTGCAGGAGGAAAGAGGAGTGATTGGTGGAATGATAACGTAAAGGGTGTGATAAAAGAGAAAAAGTTTGCTTATGAGAGGTTTTTTCAAAGCAGAAGTGTTATAAGAAGAGTAGAGTATATGGAGAGTAAAAGAAAGTTAAAGAGAGTGGTGAGAGAGTGCAAAAGGAGAGCAGATGATAGAGTGGGAGAGACACTGTCAAGAAATTTTAATGAAAATAAGAAAAAATTTTGGAGTGAGTTTAACAAGTTAAGAAAGCCTAGAGAACGAATGGATTTGTCAGTTAAAAACAGAGTAGGGGGAGTTAGTAGATGGGGAGATGGAGGTTTTGGGTAGATGGCAAGAATATTTTGAGGAACTTTTAAATGTCGACGAAGAAAGGGAAGCGGTAATTTCATGCACTGGCCAGGGAGGTATACCATCTTTTAGGAGTGAAGAATAGGATGTGAGTGTAGGGGAGGTGCGTGAGGCATTACGTAGAATGAAAGGGGGTAAAGCAGCTGGAACTGACGGGATCATGACAGAAATGTTAAAAGCAGGGGGGAATTTGATCGTGTTCCTCACTTTCTTTACCAAAGGGCTTGCCCTAGCTTTCCTTGGGCCCATGGTGACTTATTTAGCAGTTGCAGTCACAAAAAAACAATTTATTATTACGTATGAACCCGCGGGGTGATGGTCACGTGTTGGTAAACAATGGCACACTGAGCGTGGGAGACTGGCTTGGTGTGCGCGGTGACAGGTACCGGACGGTTGCCGAATCACAAGTCTAATCACGAAACTCAAGGCCAAATTTTGCCAAAAAGAAACTTGCCGAAAGTCGAATTTCACGAAAATCGATGCTGCCGAAACTCGAAGGTCCACTGTATTTACTCTTTTTATGCTACACAATAACTAAAATGTTGTTTATTACTATTTTTTGATATTTTATATACACATACGTACATAAGCGGTTTGTTTCTGGTCCTCATACATATTATAAGCATTGAGCATGGAAATGTCCAGAATACGGAAAAAGAGTTTTATGTACCACTTATAAATCTTGCGAACACAATCAGCAAACCCAATCTGCATGTCACATTTGTCCACTGAATGCATATTGAGGGTGTAGTTCATCACAGCTGCAAGTTTTAGAATGGGTTCATTGGTCTCTCTATTCTGCCTGCCAGTGTTTGCCATTTCGTCAGGGTGAACTGCTGGCAACAGTGTGACATCTCGTTTGTCATGCCACCAAAATGCCATGATGTCATTGGCAGCAAACGCCTGCACCTCACCTTCACAAGTGCCAGCGTCAAACCTAGGCACATGCTTACGATTTCCACGCACATCTGTCATGTTCACTCACAAAAAATCACTGAATGAGGGGCTTGTGTACCAGTTATCAGTATATAATACATGCCCCTTACCAAGATATGGTTCCATTGTTCTAACCACATCACCAGAGATGCCCAGTGACTTCCTGGTATTTTGCAATGTATTACTTCCAGTGTACACAATAATATCCAATACAAGACCACTGTAGCAGTCACAAAGCACAAACAACTTTATACCAAAGCGTTTCCTCTTGCTTGGTATATACTGCTTGAACGACAGTCTTCCTTTGAACAGAATCAAAGACTCTTCAGTAACAAACTTCCTGAAGGGATAAAAATACATATTGAATTTCTGTTTCAGATACACTAACACATTCCTAATCTTATATAACCTGTCATTTCTGTCAGGCCTGGTTTTGTCTGAGAAGTGAAGCATACGTTATAGCATAAATCAATTCACTCGTATTATATCACTGAAACCTGGGATTGCAGTCAGGCAGTCTGTTGACCAGTATGATTTAACACTGTGTTTATACACATGTGGCACAAGCATTATTGTGGCAAAGAAAAGATACATCTCAGCCACAGTTGTCTCCTTCCACTGGTGTAGGCGTGATTTTGGTGAAAGTATTGTGTTTGCCATGGTGTAATCGAAGTATCTGTTACTTTCCCTGACAATAATTTCCCTCAGGGGTTCATCAAAGAATAACTCAAAACATTCTAGTTCAGTGGCATTGTTCCCAAGTGTACAAGATGGCCGTATTCCACTTTGACTTTTATCAAAGTGATGGGGATTAGAACAAAATTTTCAGCTTCCTGCCAATTCTACTTTACTCTCGCTACTGGAACTGTTTTCAAGAGCTTGGAGTTCATATTCACTATCACTATCATCACCATTGCTCACATCTGAGTCCTGGATATGGGAAAATATGAGTTTCCTCTTTCGTTCTGGTACAACTGAACGTGAACAAGACGGCCCAGCACCAGAGGTGGAAGGTTGAGGGTCATCTGGATTTTCCTCACTATTACCGGTATTATGGTCATTAGTTTTGGTCACAACCTCATCAAAACCTTGAAACTCGTCTTCACTGGCACTTCCATCTGTATTAGAACTGTCACTGGGGAACAAAAGTGTCCCAATTCGCTGAGGAGTGAGGAGTTTCTTACTGCGAGGCATGGTGAATAAGGTGTACTAAAATGGCGTTCCCACAATGCACCACTGGGTCTCCGAAATTTTTCCTACCACGCATACTAACCACACAGACCCATTCTCTCACATCTAGGCCTACCAGCCTTTTCCCACTTGATTTGAAGGCGCTAGAATTTATGCGTACTAGTACGTCAATAACCTTGGCGCGTAAGACTTACTAGTACATCAGAAACTCTGAAAGGGTTAAAGGTGCTCATGGGGGACTTAACTGTATATGACATCCCATGTCAACTATCTGATATATTCACCGGTGATCTGAAAACCTCCAGGTGATAACTTGTAACTTAATTCGTGTGAATGAAAAGGAAACCTTAAAGGTCTTGTACATAGTTCTTCATAAATAATTGTGCACTCATAAGATACGAGAGACAAGCTAATATTTTATTGTTGATATGTTCTAAGGAACAATGTAATATAACAAAAAAAGGCACAATACCGTGACTGGAACAATATACAAATAACCCGCACATAGAAGAGAGGAGCTTATGACGACGTTTCAGTCCAACTTGGACCATTTACAAAGTCACACTAATGAAAGGAGAGTAGGAGGGAGTATATATAGGCAGGAGGTGGTAGTAGTAGTGGGTGGGTAGTAAGGAGGAGGAGTCAGTCAAATACTAAGAAAGAGGAGCACTACAAGAGAGCTAGGTGCCCACAGAGGGTGCCCACACGGTTCGCCACAAGTGGCTTCAGTCCTAATACAGAGAAAACTAAGAAAATGCGTATATATAGTGGCAGAAGGCAGGTGAAGTGTCACGTGGGTAGAGGTGGTGGTAGTAGTAATAGCAGTAGAACTAAGGTGGTGAGGTGGATGGCTACAGAGGGACCTGTTGACATCATGTAACAGGAGTTTCCAGAATGGGTAATATCCTGTTGATTAGCAATTTTGAGATACTGTAATTTCCAGACTTTTGCTTTATAGTGTTACTGACAGCAATTAGGGCAGCTTCTTTGCATTTTCTCCTTATTAAATCGTTTTCTTTAATCACTAGTTTAACCTCGCTGAATTTCATGAGGTGTCCAACATCGTCCCTATGTTGAACACATGCATTTTTACGGTCATCATTTCTGCAAGCATTTTTGTGTTCAGTGATCCTAATGTCCAGAGATCTGGCTGTTTCCCTCACATATACTTTGTCACACCCCCATATGGTATAGTGTAAATTCCTGCACTTGTGCCAGAATCATGCTTGGGTTTTTGTATCAAGTTCCTAATAGTAGTTGAAGAGCTGGTAGATATTTTAACCAGTTTTCTGTCAAGCATTTTTGAAACTTTAGTGGCAACATTGCTGACTGGTAAAACGATGTAACTTGGAGGCTTTTCTACAACTTGATTGGTGTCCTCAGTGAGGACGTGTCTAGTGTACTGAGTGAGGATGTGTCTAGTGTACTCCCTGTGGGCTAAACCAAGATGCCCTCCATTGAGCAACTTTACCAGCAGCTTAAACAGGAATTGAGGGTAGCGAAGCTCGAGATACTGCAATTGATGGTGGAAAACAGGAGGATTCGTATTAGTTCTCCTGTCGGTGAGTCCTCAGGTCAAGAAGGGAACCTGGGCAGTGGCCGGACAGCAAAAATTAAGACGAATGGAGAGGAAGAAACGATGAAGAAA